TGTAAAATTGCATATTTTGATAAGTCGGATCTCTTGATAAGTCGGACACCATGTCCAGCCATTTGTGTCCGACTTATTGAGTTTACCTATGTATAATGTTAATGTTTAGAAGAAAAAAAAATAATGGTACAATTCCAAAACTTTTCCTCTTATATAACTTTCAATACCCGTTGGATCATTGGATTATAGCTGAAAGATAGAAATGTATTTGTTCAGAGAGAAAAAACAAACCCCTGCCATGCAAAATTCCTTGATTTTTAGTAAAATCATACTTTGAAGATTATGAAAGAGCGACTCGAACAGTATTTATTTCAATGGTTATAATTAGAGGTTTTTTAATTGCTGAACCGTGAATGAATCGGAGAGACCCTCAAATCTGTGTTTACTACATAGAAATTCTTTATTAATCACACAAACTATTTTAATTTTTAGATAAAATTATTTTTGAGATTAATTTTATTCAACTTGTGGCACAAAAATAATACAATTGGCAATTTTTGTGCACATTTACTGTTAAAAACGCAGATCTTTCTCTGTTTCATTCACGTATCACCAATTAATAATTTTTTTTACCAATATGTTAGTCGTTAATTCATTTGCAACATCCAAATTAGTAAAATACCTGACTGTTTCAAAACTAGAGATGTTAATCGGTCCTTAACCGTCCGGTCTTGGTAGTCCTACCATGGGACCGGATCAGACTTAAGTTCTGGGACCTAAAGTCCTGAAAAAATCCTTAAACATAAAATGTTTGGAATATTGCGAGGTAGCTTTTTGGTCAACCTCAATTATTTTACATTGCATGGCCGAGTTTGAGTTAACATTTTAGCTGCACTTGTTAATTAGTTTATTTTACGAACTTAACCTGCCTTCTTATACTTAAAAGGTTACAAATAACAAAGAATTATAATAAAAGCAACAAAGGCTCCTATAGATTTATTTTAATTTATACTTTTCTTTAGTCAATTAAAGTCAGACGTGCGTTTACAACAACTATTTTAACATAATACAATATGTGATGACGATAACTGTTAGCTCTTGTATAGATGGCCGATCAATAAGATACTTTTGCCAATTGTTATTAACACCTTACATTTACATTTAAACAATTAAACCCGTTTACAAAAAAATTTTATGCGTAACAAAAACCAAAACCAAACCTTTACTTTATACCAAAGCAAATGCTCGAAACCTCAGAGTTCTATATCACTATGATAACCAAGCGGACAATTAAACCATACTGTTTAATTTCTGACCACCAAAGTGTTCTATTGTATGTATTTTCTACGTATTATTTATTATTGACAAAAAAGATTATCGTTACACAAGGACCTTTAGAACTTCAACAATTATGCAAGGTAGATAAACAAAACTGGATTCATTTGAAAACCAAAAAAATCCTATTGTTTGTTTTTTTCCAAAAAAAAAATTTTTGTCCGTCTCCTGAGGAATTCTTCAACCATAAGTTTCTTCAATTCGTCAACATTCCTTGACATCCCTTTTTTAACGTTATTTTTTATGATATACCATATATTTTCAATGTTAGGGCTGTTGAATTGCCAGTCTATTATACGAATTCTTTTTTCAGTAACGAAAGTTTTTGCACCGCGTGATTTGTTTCAAACGACATGCAATAAGCGTTTATTATCATGCAAAGCGAAAAATTTTTTTTTTGAAACACAACACAGTGTATATTAAAATAAACGTTCACGAAGAACAATACTAATTATTGAAACAGCTCCGTGAATATTAGTATTGAATATACCACAATTACACTATTGATTGATTGATGTTGGGGGAATGACGTTCAGGTTTGGTAATTCGACTAAAATAAATAAATTTTTTTTTTTGAGAAAAAATAATAATACTAATTCATCAACCATTTCCGCAATCAATAGTGCCACAATTTCTTTTACCGCACAAAAATGGTTTCATTGCTATTTTGAATTGATCTCTGAGGAGCTAATAAAATTATTATGTTACACTCCTATTAAAAGGATTACTTTAATTTGTTTAATTTGTACATAATTGAATAACCTACTTTTATCTATCTTGTGTAACTGGTAATTTCGTGTACCCAAAAAATATTCACAGCCGCGGAATAGAAACTCGAATACCTTTTTTAAATGATTGCGTACAATATGGCAAAAAATCATTGTTAATAATAGTTTTTAAAAAGGAGATAACTTCCCATTTCAAATCATTATAAAAAGACTTGGTTTAAACCCATATTCTTTTCATCAAAAAATCCAAAAAATTTATTATTGTTCTAATATATTTATTAAAATCATATTTCTGAATTAATATAAACATAAAAATATCTTTATTCCGACGCACTTTCAAATGAAGAATTTTATCTTAATTCTTGTTCTTGTTCTTGTGTCTTTCTTCGGAACCCTCGGATCTTTTGCTGCTAAACCTGCACCAGCTCGTGCAACTGCTGTTGCAAGTATTCAGGATGCAACTTGTCCAGTTGAATGTACAGGTGGTACATGTTGTACGGATTATAACTATTATTGCTGTAACGATGATCTTGGAGGGTGTTGTGAAATTGGAACAGAGTGTACTACTGATAGCTACACATGCACATGATAGTAGGGAGAGAATATTTATTTGAAACCAAGTAAAATATTGCTTTGGATTTTTCAACAATATGTATAAAATTTTTGTTATAAATAATTCAATATTTAGTATACGAAAAATAATCATGTAGTTAGTTTATATTTTATTCGCTTATTTTTCTATTATGTATAACTGTAATAATAAAAACAATGATATTAACTATTTGTTATTATTAATTTAATAATTCAAAATCAAATCGTGTTTTATTATTATTGGGGTGATGTGTTTGGATACGAAATTCAAATTGACTACGTACGTAAATTTTAGCCTATTATATCCGTATTATCGAGGATAAATCATACAAGAAAGGTTGTGTTGCATTATTCATTGTAAAATATTTGGTGGGAAAAAACACATAATAATGGTATAAAAAATTTTCAGATAATGTATTAGTATGGTTTTTCCGTGCATTTTATATGGAATATGCACGGAATTATACATGAAAAGAGCGCTTTTCCGTACATATTTGTTCTGAAAATGTACAGAAAATGCATAGGAAAATGTAATTTCAGGTCATTTTCTGAAAATTCCATACATATTCCATGCATTTTTCCATGTACTTTTCATACATTTCGGGGCAAATATGTACGGAAAAGCGCTCTTTTAATGTATAATTCTGTACATATTCCATATGGAATATGCGGAAAATGTATGGAAAATCCATACCTTTTCTGACTAAATTTTTTATAGGGTCCATGTACCACATTCTGATCAGCAAGTAAGTAAAATTTATTACCTTAGTCCATGTAAAGTTCATTTATTTGGTATTCAAGATGAAGCAGTAAGGGAACA